CATTTAAAAGAAAAAAATAAACCAAACAAATTCATCAAAATGACAAAACACTGAATGAAAAGGGTGCAGAAACTTTAAGCAAGATGTCTGAGATCATTAACATTAAGTAATTAAGCGCATATTTCTGAAAACCGCAAACTATTGGAAATAAACTTGTCCTTAACTTGGAAGTAGAGTAGTGCCCAACTGAAAACTTTAAGTGAGTAGGGATTAATCATTGCAACACAGACTTCTGCAAACATAAAAAAAAAATCTTTAATAGCATAAGAGCTAAAAAGCATTACTAAGTTTAAAAGCTTCATTATACAAAAAAGGACTATTTTAAGCCATTCACTGTCTTAAAAAAGGCTGAGGTTACATTATTGTTTTGTTTTTGTGCTTTGACATCTTAATAATCTCATCATTTTATTGATAGAGCTAGATAATACAAATAAAAAAGACTTAATTTCCATTTACTGTTGTTGGATTTATAAACTACAAAGCAAGAAGGTTAATTATAACAGGAGAGTTTTCAGAAAAAAGTTATAAAAAAAACATTAAAAATATAAAAGTGGCAATAAAAGGAAAAAAAAAAACATGAGTCCTGCTTCTCGTAGTAATAACACTGTCAAGATAGACTTCATTTCCCTTTAAAACCTATTCACACGAGCCAACAAAGCAGACTTTTTGCATAATACATGGCAAAATCTAAAAGAAAAACACCACATTGATTCCATCTTGATAATTGATTGCAGGTTTGGGGGATCTCTGAATGAGTTCTGGCTCGCCTGGATCCATGCAAACAAATAATAAACAGTGATCAGGATTTAAAATAATCTTCCCTACAAGCATGACATGGAAGGCCTGACTGAATGTCCACTGGGCTCTTCTGGCATCAATGAGACATTGCATTTGCATCGCTGATTTTATCAGACACTCTTCCATTGTTGTCGTCCTTTAATCCAGCGTTTTCAATTCCCTCAATAGTCATAAGACTTGTTCAGATATGTTTTGACTGCACTGAGGAGGAAATTAATAAATGCTTTGACATTACATAATCCATGACTTCTATTGCAAATGTAGACTGCATATTTTATACCAACTGAGAGGTATAAAGAGATGCAAAATATACATAAAAAAGCTACAATGAACTATTTCAAGTAGTACAGTTTTAAAGAGTTTACCAAGTAATAAATAATAATAATAATAACAATAATAAAAAGCACTAAAGGTCAGGTTATACTTCACAATACGTTAAGACATTGGATCTCACCGACGTGGTTGTGAGGTGGTCTTTTTTGCAGGGGCGATTCATGCGACTGGCAGAGATGGATGTTTATTTTCAGCTGATAATGGAGGAGCTGGAGTGAGAAGCCCTATTTGTTTCTGTTGTTAATCAAGGGGAAGCTCTATTTAGTACATCTATCACAAAGACACCACCACCGTTTCTGACAGATGCTGTGAAAACTCGTCCCTAAACTCGGCCTGGTCCTTTCCGGTCATCATCGCCATAGAGAGCTTCTCTGTCTCCTCTGTGCACACTAACGGTTCAGCGTCCTTCCACAAGTTCTTTAACTATCTTTATGTTTTGTTGGAACAGTTGTAAAAATGGTTGTGTTTCCTGACAGCCTCGGCCAGCAGCTCCTTAGCAGAGCATGTGTGAGATCGGCCGACTGCAGCTACTTTTTATAAACAAACATGCCACGATGTTCACGCAGTGCTTTACATACTCCTGTGAGAACTACATGTTACTGGGGTCAACAAAACAAGACGGGGTATCAGTGCGAGGGTGCAAGCATAAAAATACGCAATTTACACCATGCACCCATGTTGGAGGGACACAACTTTGGTACACCTCATGGACTACAAACAAGCTTAAATCTGCCTAAAACCGCATGGAAGCTTGAGCTTGTGATTGACCAACATAAGGCTCATTGTAAACATGTAGTGTAAGCTGATCAGCTCAGACCTGAAAGAACCTCTGCTTTAGAATGCAACAAGTCAAATCTGTCAAAACGTAGGAACATTTTGGGTTGGTTTGGTAACAACTTTTAATTTTCACTAAGCAGTCAGTTAAGATGCTTTGCCTTTGATAAGTGTGACTCCACTCAGCTCTCATCTTATCGGTTCTTCTCAGGTGTAGGTGATTTGCCGCTGTGACTTGTTTCCCACTCTGTTCGTGGGATCGGCAATGCAAAGTGGGCGGTATCGTAACAGGTCATTGTGTTCAAGACACTCAAACACAATGTTGTGGTCCTTAATTGCCCTATAATCGGACTTCAGTTTCTTGGGTCGAGTCATGAGTAGAGACACGGAGGTCCAGAGTCGAGTCATGAGTCAAGACATGAAGGTCCAGAGTCGAGTCACGAGTCAAGACACGAAGGTCCAGACTCAGGTCATGAGTCGAGACATGGAAGTCCAGGGTTGAGTCACAAGTCGAAACACAGAAGTCCAGTGTTGAGTCACGAGTCGAAGACATGAAGGTCCAGACTCAGGTCATGAATCGGGACACGGAAGTCCAGGGTAGAGTCACAAGTCGAAACACAGAAGTCCAGGGTTGAGTCACGAGTCAAGACATGGAAGTCCAGAGTCGAGTCATGAGTCGAGACACAAAGGTCCGGAGTCGAGTCATGGAAGTCCAGGGTTGAGTCACAAGCCGAGTCACGGAAGTCCAGTGTTGAGTCACGAGTCGAAGACACGAAGGTCCAGACTCAGGTCATGAGTCGGGACACGGAAGTCCAGGGTCGAGTCACAAGTCGAAACACAGAAGTCCAGGGTTGAGTCACGAGTCAAGACATGGAAGTCCAGAGTTGAGTCATGAGTTGAGACACAAAGGTCCAGAGTCGAGTCACGGAAGTCCAGGGTTGAGTCACACGAGTTGAGTCACGGAAGTCCAAGGTCAAGTCATGAGTCAAGACACAAAGGTCCATCTAGAAAAAAAAAAAAGACACAAAGGTCCAGAGTAGAGTCATTAGTCGAGACGTGGAAGTCCAGGGTTGAGTCACGAGTCGAGACATGGAAGTCCAGGGTTGAGTCACACAAATCAAGACACGGGGGCGGCTGTGGCTGAGTGGTTAGAGCAGTCGTCCTCCAATGCGAGAGTTGGGGGTTTGAATCCACCAGCTGTCACATGCTGAAGTGTCCCTGGGCAAGACACTGAACCCCTCGTTGCCTCTGATGTGTGTCCCATCAGTGTATGAATGTGATAAATCACTGATTAGTCTCATTAGAATGATTTGTTCAATTATCTTTGTAGAGATCTAGTAGAGTGCTGTATGAATGGGTAAATGAGGACACAGATTGTGTTGTAAAGCGCTTTGAGTGTCTTGAAATAAGATAGAAAGGTGCTATATAAGTACAGTCCATTTACCATTTACAAAGGTCCAGAGTCGAGTCATGAGTCAAGACATGAAATTCCAGGGTTGAGTCACACAAGTCGAGACACGAAGGTCCAGAGTCGAGTCACAGAAGTCCAGGGTTGAGTCACGAGTCAAGACACGAAGGTCCAGAGTCGAGTCA